CGTATGAAAATGAAATGCAAGCCATTGATATTGAAAAAGAAGCTGATGTTCGTCATGGAAAGGAAGTTTGGCCACCGGACAAAATTTTGTCATGTCTGAGCCTTGCAGACCACGTGTATCTGGATGAAATTTTTACAACTGAAGGTTTGACAGAAACACGAGAGAAAGGCCAACTTTCAGAAGAGGCGCTGAAGACTGGACACGATACTAAAGCAAACATACGAGATGGTGTCGCAATGTTGAAGACATGCCCGCCTTACCAAATTGAGAAATATATATTGATTGCGAGAGATAATGAAAATTGTTTTGCTGAAATTGGACATAACGACAGGGAATACGTTTCAGAAGTTGTCATGCTACCGAATAAAGAAAAGATTGACAGTCCACATTACAGTAAATATGATCTAACCATTAAAGAGTTGAAAGAGAGAAATGATGGACTCAGGAACAAGATAGCTGATGCAAGAGATCTATATACTGAAGATTTAGAGCGCGTGAACACTAAAACAGAGGTTAAGACAGTGGATATGGTCAATGTCAAACCTGAAATAATAGAAAAGTTCGCAATGCCAACAGTAGTTCTAGATAATAATGACAGTCTTCGATTGGGAAGTCCTAAAACCAAATTTGATGCATACAAAATATTGCAATCTGATATTACATCATGTGATTACATTCCCTACCAAGAAGAAATAGCACCAGACGATGAAAGTGATGCATCTGACCCGATTGAAAACACAGATGACGAATTTACAGACACTTATTCACTTGAGACAGTTGTGCACAAGAAACCTCATGATCCACTGTCATATAGCAAATCAAGTATCACAGTGATTCAACCAGATCAGATAAAGTCATACCGAGATAGTAGCAATGACACTCAAGATACTAGTATAGCATCGGATTCTGAGGATACAAGTAGATACACAACAACAGATGATGAACTATATGACAGTGATACGCTTGATGATGTTTCAGATATTGAATTTGATGACGACATCGCAGACATAAAGGGTATTGTAGATACTAAAGAATTAGATGATGACATCTTAGACATCGGAGCTATAGATCTCCAAGAGCAAGGTGAAGTTGATATAACAGCAACTTGGAATGATATCTCTGATACACCTACTAACGACTTGTATGACGATGATGATAACCTGTTTGGTATCTTGGATGTCTATATAGAGAGTGAGCTACACTTTGGCTATAGCAAAGTAAGTATAAGTTATCATGTAAGAATGAAAGGTTTGAAACTTTTATTCCTTGGTTCAGTTCTTTAGTGTATCACTCTAGAAGAATTTTTACGTTAAAGTCATCTAACAAATTTATGTATGAACATGTGTAGTGTTGGTATAAATTTTATGTATTTAAAAATTACAATTGCTAGATATCTAGCGTGCAGATTATGATTACTTTGGAAATACAATTTTTGCCATCGTTGGAAAATTAAGACGAGTATAGCTATAACATCAATCAATCAGTCTGTTAAATTTAACACCTCTATTAATTAAAATGATTTCATGCTTTTCTCTTTGTACTCGTACCACCATTGTATATATGTTATATTGACGATGATCACTGATATATTTTTGCCGAAAGATATATTGAATTGAATTGAATATTTACAAAATGCTCAGCTTGGTTTCCGCGGATCCAGAGGGAACGGGGGTTTGGGGTCATGACCCCCACCCCTTCTCTGGAATATTGCAAGTATGTCAAACCTCTCTTAGATTTGGATATTATATAACATTGTCAAAATTTTGCGATTCCCTCTGATATTATGTACTTAATGATTTCCCCCCTAAAAATCGCTCAAAAACTTCTTATATTTTTCAGATACCTGTTGCTGAGAAGTGTGAACAGAAAGCAGACTTTGGATATAAATATTTTTCATTTTCAACATTCTTTAAATAAGAAATAAATATGAGAAAAATCGAATGGTTACACTTAATCACTTTGTTTTCATTGATACAGATAATTATGATTTTCTTCTTTGCATTGGCACAAAAATTCAATGATAAACATGGTAACTTAATGGAGTACAGCAATATTACGATAGAAAAGCACGGTGTTTCTTTAATCATAAGGATGGCCCTAACGGAACACCGTAGAAGAGTGAGTTAAAAAAATCCGCGTTTTTTTATTCCAAAGTTTGACTGCCAGTTAATTCGACACCCTTCGTCATGCTGACCTTTTGGCACTGTGTTAAACAGGCTGACCGCCGTGATATGACCAAAAAGTATGTTGAATTAAAATCGACGTAAATCAGACAGGCAGACAAACATACAAACAAAGTTGAAAGCTCCTTGAAATCGCAGTGATCTCCCTTTAATTGTTTGACATAGACTTATATACAACTTCTAAATATGTATAGGCACGCTATTTTTTTAGAATATAAGTAATGCATGTACTCGTATATATAACAAAAATGTTCTATTTTCTCATAGAAATGTCCTATTACAAAGAGGACAGTTTATTGGTTTCTTAGCAATTTATTGTTATACCATATGACCTAAATTGTGTTGGTGCGCCGTAAAACCAAACAAACAAACAAAATAAAAAAACTAACAACAACAAAAACAAATCCAGCTATTTCTAAAGTTGGAATAACTACCTGCTTGGTGTGTAATATAACCACTTGCTTGGTGTGTAATATAACTACCAGCTTGGTGTGTAATATAACTACCTGCTTTGTGTGTAATATAACTATCTGCTTGGTGTGTAATATAACTAGCAGCTTGGTGTGTAATATAACTACCTGCTTTGTGTGTAATATAACTATCTGCTTGGTGTGTAATATAACTACCAGCTTGGTGTGTAATATAACTACCTGCTTGGTGTGTGATATAACTACAAGCTTGGTGTGTAATATAACTACCTGCTTGGTGTGTAATATAATTATCTGCTTGGTGTGTAATATAACTACCAGCTTGGTGTGTAATATAACTACCTGCTTGGTGTGTAATATAACTACCTGCTTGGTGTTTAATATAACTACCTGCTTGGTGTGTAATATAACTACCTGCTTGGTGTGTAATATAACTACCTGATTGGTGTTATATATTACTACCTGCTTGATGTGTACTATAACTACCTGCTTTGTGTGTAATAACCACCTTCTTAGAGTGTAATATAACCACCTGCTTGGTGAGTAATATAGCTACCTGCTTGGTGTGTAATATAACTACCTGCTTGGTATGTAATATAACTACCTGCTTGGTGTGTAATATAACCACCTGCTTGGTGTGTAATATAACTACCAGCTTTGGTGTGTAATATAACTACCAGCTTGGTGTGTAATATAACTATCTGCTTGGTGTGTGTAATATAACTACCAGCTTGGTGTGTAATATAACCACCAGCTTGGTGTGTAATATAACTACTAGCTTGGTGTGTAATATAACCACCTGCTTGGTGTGTAATATAACTACCTGCTTGGTGTGTAATATAACCACCTGCCTTGGTTTGTAATATAACTATCTGCTTGGTGTGTAATATAACTATCTGCTTGGTGTGTAATATGACTACTAGCTTTGTGTGTAATATAACTACCAGCTTGGTGTGTAATATAACTTTCTGCTTGGTGTGTAATATAACTACCAGCTTGGTGTGTAATATAACTATCTGCTTGGTGTGTAATATAACTACCAGCTTGGTGTGTAAATATAACTACTAGCTTGGTGTGTAATATAACTACCAGCTTGGTGTGTAATATAACTACTAGCTTGGTGTGTAATATAACTACCAGCTTGGTGTGTAATATAACTATCTGCTTGGTGCGTAATATAACTACCAGCTTGGTGTGTAATATAACTATCAGCTTGGTGTGTAATATAACTACCTGCTTGGTGTGTAATATAACCACCTGCTTTGTGTGTAATATAACTACCTGCTTGGTATGTAATATAACTACCTGCTGGGTGTGCAATATAACTACCTGCTTGGTGTGTAATATAACCACCTGCTTTGTGTGTAATATAACTACCTGCTTGGTATGTAATATAACTACCTGCTGGGTGTGTAATATAACTACCTGCTTGGTGTGTAATATAACCACCTGCTTGGTGTGTAATATAACCACCTGCTTGGTTTTTTATATAATATATAATTTACTGCTCACCTGCTTGGTGTTTTATATAATATATTATTAACTGCTTACCTGCCTGGTTTGTGTAATAACCACCTGCTTTGTGTGTAATATAATGAACTGCTTGGTGTTTAATATAACCACCTGCTTGGTGTTTAATATAAACACTTGCTTGGTGTGTAATATAACTACCTGATTGGTATAAACTTTTCAATACATTAAATTTCGATTTTGAATATGATAGGCAATCTCTTCTGATCTCAAAGTTTCTAGACATGTTTAACGAGATACAACATGGAACAAACTTGTATGGGTTTAGTGGTGATTTGATGATTTTAAATGGTAATGTTCTGTTTGAATTGTTTTTTTTTTTCAAGTAATTTTTTTTTTAACTTTTTTTTCTTTGTTTTCTAAGGCATGTGTGCTTACATTTGATTGATACGCATGTATGGCATACCCGGATTCCATAACATCGTCTGTCAAATAAAGAGACATATAGTGCATAGTAACATATCTGCCAATTAGTATCAAATTAAAACTGTTTTAAATCAATGCTGCATCACTTTTTTTATTGTGTATATGTAAAATTTATTTCCTTGATGTTAGATTTGTCGATATTCTGAAAAGTGTGTCCCTTTGGGAAATACAGATTAAAAGCAAACGATTTCGTTATCTTACTCCCAACTTCAGCTATTTTTTTTTTTTCAAAACGAAGTCTCCTAACTTGGGTGAGTGCTTGCTGAAATGTAAAGTTCATGTTTATCCGAAAGTTATACATGATTTTAACATATTTGATATATACAAAGTTAATATTCTCTTTTTATCTATTTAGCGATACATAACTTTTATTTTGACGACTGCTTCCTTGTCTCGTTGTAGTTCCTTATTTGTTAAAATAACGACACTTATCCAGGGGAGATAATAATTGTTTGGATACGCATACTAGAATCTAAGTCGGAGTTGTAACTCAGCGAAAAATGTGACGTCAGAAGTACTTCCGGCATGAGAGATCTGAAACGAGGCTGTAAAATGAACTCTACTCAAAAGTTGCCAAAATAGTTGATATTGGTAAGTTTCAAAGGTTTTCCGTGCATAAGATGTACAATGAAAAGTAAGATGACCATATGCAATAAGGGCTAGATGGTTTATTATTATGCAAAACTGATTTGATCACTAAAATGAAACGTTTAGTGTCACAGAAAAATCAGCCTCCCAAAAATCACATCCGATTCTGAAATTATGCAGCAGCGACCTACTTTTCATACCACTGAATATCATAATAAATATATTAAAAAATGCTTTATATGTGATGTTTATGCATTTTTCCATATGCAAAGAAATCCCAATAAATAATTTGTAAGAATTAGTTTCCTGATTTGAAATTTTGACATAATTTGTGCTTTCAAAGAACTGTCAGAAATTTTCATACATTGATTCATTGAAAAATAAATATAGGCACATTTTAACAGCTTTCATTTGTGTTTTGTTTTTGTTTGTCAGTGTGCAATTATTCGTTAGCGTCAAGGATTTAAAAAGCCGACATGATTGGGTTGAGGTGTTAATCTAGAAGTTGAACAGGGGTTCTCAATTGTAGTTAAAAATTATGCTATTATTGTATTTGAGGTGATGGTTTCTGTAGTATACCCTCCAACACTTTGAATTCAGCAGAGCACACTTCAGCTACTGTTCCGGTCACACCATTTCTATTTGGGATACAAAACTTTTAATACTAATAGTCTTATTATAATCATGATGTTATTAGTACTGTCATTGAAAATCACAATATCGATATAATATGAAATTAGCAAAGACTATGAACAGGAAAGTCAGTTAGAATAATCGTTTATTTTTTATATAAAATTTTCTGTTTTAAAATTGTCATTCAGTATTTCATGCACTGCTTCCTTTTTCACCTGGAACACCTTGACAAAAATTTGCCATTGTTCCGTTGTCGGAATACCTTGCTATAATCATTGAGTTATATTGAAAATGATGGCGTCCACTAGATACGACACTGAAATTTTCATTGATTGGTATAGAAAATTATATCTTAAATTGTAATGGTTTTTGTTTAATTATTTCCATTTGAATATACACTTGTAGTCTATAGCCGGGCATTAAGCCAAAGCTCAGGACGGCAAAGCGGTCCAAGTGTTTGACTTCCCCCTATGATCGATATTCAACAATCAATATCATATTGATTTAAATTTATGCAATTAAAAACCCATTTCTCATGTTTCTCATTTTTGTGTAAAAATAAAAGTTCACTGGTTTGAACACAGGATTTAATTGTCAGATGTCTGATAGATATAACATGAAGGAAACATTATTTAATGGTATGCTTTGTTTTAAGATAAAAAAATACATGCTTGCTTTACACCAAAATGACATATTATTATCATGGTTATAAATATTTAATATTCAGGGGCTCTTTCAGTGGTTTTATTATGTTTGAAAGAAGCAAGCAAAAAATCTGATTTCTTTCAGATGAGAAATGATTTAAATGGTTCATGGAGTAATTTTTGTAAAATGGTCGCAGGCCTTTTTACCTTCTATAGCAGGGGCCGTTATAGGGCTGCTTCCCCAAAGAAAAATTCTTTAAAATCATGCAGATTTCCTCAAAAATTGAATTAACATCAAGTATTTTCTACCTCTTTGGCAAGTATACCATTTAATTTTTCCCAAAAACTAAGGGCAAGGCTGTTTCCCCAACTTGTGAAAAAAGGCCTGGGTCGACAATGTTAATTTGTTTTTCTTGATAAACATAATGTATCAATTTTATCGCTGGCAACAAAGACTTTTGTGAAGTCAACTCATAAAAGAATTTACGGATAGCAGTAAAAAATTGAGGGTCAGTCCGGCAGGGCCGGCAAAATCTGATTTTGACTTACTTGTCCTTTTTTATGTGAAACATTTTTAAATTGTCCGTATGATATTAACATAGTTTATTCTTGAAAATTTTCACTTGTTCGAACAGGCTGTTGGAAAACCTGGGCAATACGGACAATTTTACCGGCCCTGGTCAGGTAATTAGATTTTTTTTTAACATCTTTTTAAGGAAGACACATTGAAAAGTGCAACACATAACACTAACAAAGTTCTATGCTCCTGCGTTTATGAATAAATTATGCAAATGAGCCACGTTGAGCCGCCATGTTGGAGTTTCGGTAAGCGTGTTGGAAATTGCTACCTGTTCGTTTTGAAAGCTCGTCCTAACTTACAGTTTCCTTGAATGTAGGAAAACTTGGTTTTGTTTGATTGCATACTGAATGATAGGTATTACAAAATAAAAATAATGAAAATCGATCAATCAATAATTGTATACGAGCGTTATAAAGTCAATTTAATTTGTCAGAATAATAAGATGCTGTTGCAGGGTATTGGTAAAAGACTGCTTTTTTTTCCCGTTTTTGAAATTTATTTGAACACGGGGACAATTTTTCTCAAACAGGTTTATGAATATTCTTTAAGTTGCAACAGAGTTTACCGTGTGTCCATTCCCAGGCTTTGCGAAAGTTGCCGGACCGTCGGACATGTCCGGCAAAAATCAGGCCGGTCCGATATTTTTTTCAGAGTTCCGGACCTTATGTCCGGTACGAATACCGGGATATATCCAAGACCGATCAAGACCGAGTTTTCTCCCGTGAATAAAAAAAATGTAAAACAAGTTTTGATTCGCCGTTTCATTATAAGTGTCCAATCAAATTCTAGATACATACGACTGTCAATAACCAAAATGTCGGTGTTACTCCATTATTATGCTGGCGCTACGCCCGGCAAAAATCGTAAACTATCCAATGAAGAAAAAAAAGCGAAACAAAAGGAATACGAGTCCAGGCGCCCGCCGAGAAAATTTGTGGGTAAATGGAAAAATGGCCGCTTTGATCATGAATGTTTTGATTTCCAGACAGAGTCCATCAATCTGGATAAACTAATGTTTTATTTAAGGGAATAAAATTGTGTTGCAAATCTTTAAAAGTTGTTATGTCTTTAAAAAAAACCCACAAAGGTATTATACCATATACATATATTTGGAAAAAAATTCGGTCAGACAAAAGTTCTTCCGGTCAGACAAGAATTGAAAGTTTGTCTGACCGAATGTCAGGCAAATTTTTCAGCAGTTTCGCGAAGCCTGCATTCCTTATTTAAATTGTCTAAGAAGTTAAATCTGTTTGTTTACATGTAAATGTGTACTGTCATTTTGACCGACTGGAACAAAAACTACTATGACGGTGATAATACCGGATATGTAATGAAAATTACGCCGTGTAGTGCAAAGTTTTGGACATTGCAATTAAAATAAACGCTTACGTTGATTCAAACTGTTCCTTGTCAGCAAAATTGAAACCGAAAGTAGTGGTTGTTCTAGAATTTAATCGAATAAAATAGGTGGGATTTAACCACCGCGCATGCCCTGTGCGAATGTTTTTTTTACATCCGGTCGTAGCATAGGGTAAGAGTGCAAACTTTGTTAGTGCATAATAAGACATGCATGTATATTACTTGAATCTTAGTTCTGATAAAATATTGTATTTTTGCTCTCAGTGATTTTTCTCGTTAATTGGGAAGAGGCCTTAGCCTCTTGATTTTGGGAAAAATTATCGCTAAAATTGCTAATTTGGGAAGAAAAAAGCATGTTTCAGTTCAGATTTTGGGAAAACTGCATGATTTTAAAGAAAATTTCAATTGGGAAGAGGCCCTTTTTCGGAGTCTGTTATATAAGTAGGAAAATCACTGTCTCTATTTGCTCTCGTTATCTGAATGAGTTTCATTGTCAAGGATTTATTTCTTATTTTGTTTCTTTGTTTATTTTCTATGAATAAGCATTTCTGTAACATGTAAATTTAAAGGTTTGTTACCTTTTAGTGATTTGTATGCACTGTTTAATTGGTTTATTATCATTGCATTAGGGTAGTGAGGTTACGTCAGACAATGGGAGCATAGCTATGCAGGATCTATCCTGATTATTTTTTTAACAGACTCTATTGTCTGCAATGATGCATGGAGTGGGACCTGAGGTCTTTGACTGACCAGTAGATGTGGACAGTTGCCGTTGTGTTTGTGTTATATGAAACCCAACCCAAAAAAAGGTTGTCACAAAATAAATGCTTAAAATTCATAAAAAAAAGCCAAATTTCCCTTTATTTAGATGTAAGGAGTAGTCCGTCAGATGGACTTCTGATTAAAATATCAGTATAACTTTTAAGATATATTTTGCTATTTGAAATTTTTATCAGCAAATTGCCTATTCTCTACCCCAGTATGATTATTCATACATGATTCAATAGCAGCACAGTACATTGTCTCCACCAATTACTCAATTTCAGTTAGTGAAAGTAACTCTCTTGTAGTACATGTCACAAGGTCATTTTGTCCTTACTAGAATACTCTGTAATTCATACCCATACTATATAGCATTCCCCTATCGTCTCTTTTTCAATCATTCATATCATTATTCAACTTCATACTAATAACTTCATTTGACCTGTAACACGTTGACGGGCCTCATTCACTTCATTTTTGAATTCGGTCAACAGGTATATTTGAGGTTATAAAACGTTGTAAACATGAATTACTATGATATGTGTATGTATTTCGCTTGGAATTATCAATAGCACAAGAAATGAGAACTTTTAGCGAGAGCTGTTGTTTTTTCATTGACTCCGTATTTCTATCTTATTGTGTGCCAACAATATATTTACAGGTTCCTCTTTGAACGCCCTATCCTCCCGAGTGAGAACTCACGTATATCCGTGACATTTGGCGCCCAACGGGGGACCGTGACTGAATACAGCTCAGAGTTTAATTCACATTGCTCTGTAACTCTGTGAAATTCGAGGACGAATTTCAATATAGCAGGGGAGTATGTCACGGTTCAGAACTGTTCACTATATAGGGGAGAAGATGTGTAAGCGGCCGGATAGCTCAGTCGGTAGAGCCGCGGTACGGTATTCCGAGGGTCCCGGGTTCGAGTCCCCGTCAGGCTGCACATTTTTCTCACCCTGTGACATACATTATCATCTATAATGTGTATTATAAATGATCACTTAATCCCTTGTTAAATTTTG